TATTCGTTATCCATTTTATACATATCAGTGTATATATGTCATTCTTTTTTCTTTATTCTGTTCCACGGCAGTGAATTCCACCATTCTGTCTTCCAGGTCACTTATCCGTTCTTCTGCCTCAGCTATTCTGCTATTGATTCCTTCTAGTATACTTTTCATTTCAGTTATTGTATTGTTCATCTCTGTTTGTTTGTTCTTTAATTCTTCTAGGTCTTTGTTAAACATTTCTTGCATCTTCTTGATCTTTGCATCCATTCTTTTTCCAAGATCCTGGATCATCTTCACTATCATTATTCTGAATTCTTTTTCTGGAAGGTTGCCTATCTCCACTTCATTTAGTTGTTTTTCTGGGGGTTTATCTTGTTCCTTCATCTGGTACATAGTTCTCTGCCTTTTCATTTTGTCTGTCTTTCTGTGAATGTGGTTTTTGTTCCACAGGCTGCAGGATTGTAGTTCTTCTTGCTTCTGCTGTCTGCCCTCTGGTGGATGAGGCTATCTCAGAGGCTTGTGCAAGCTTCCTGATGAGAAGGACTAGTGGTGGGTAGAGCTAGGTGTTGCTCTGGTGGGCAGAGCTCAGTAAAACTTTAATCTGCTTGTCTGCTGATGGGTGGGGCTGAGTTCCCTCCCTGTTGGTTATTTGGCCTGAGGTGACCCAGCACTGGAGGCTACAGGCCCTTTTGTGGCGCCAATGACAACTCCGGGAAGGCTCACACAAAGGAGTACTTCCCAGAACTTCTGCTGCCAGTGTCCTTGTGTCCTTGTCCTCATGGTGAGCCACAGCCACCCCCTGCCTCTGCAGGGGACCCTCCAACACTAGCAGGTTCAGTCTGGTTCAGTCTCCTATAGGGTCACTGCTCCTTCCCCCTGGGTCCCGATGCACACACTACTTTGTGTGTACCCTCCAAGAGTGGAGTCTCTGTTTCCCCCAGTCCTGTCAAAGTCCTGCAGTCAAATCACGCTAGCCTTCAAAGTCTGATTCTCTGGGAATTCCTCCTCCTGTTGCCAGACCCCCAGGTTGGGAAGCCTGACGTGGGGCTCAGAACCTTCACTCTAGTGGGTGGCCTTCTGTAGTATAATTGTTCTCCAGTTTGTGAGTCACCCACCCAGTGGTTATGGGATTTGATTTTATAGTGATTGCACCCCTCCTACTGTCTCACTGAGGCTTCTCCTTTGTCTTTGGATGTGGGGTATCTTTTTTGGTGAGTTCCAGTGTCTTCTTGTCCATGATTGTTCAGCAGTTAGTTATGATTCCAGTGCTCTCACAAGAGGGAGTGAGTGCACGTCCTTCTACTCCACCATCTTGAACCAATCTCCTCAGAAGACTCCCTTCCTTTCAATGTTATTGTAAACCTAAAAATACTCTTAAAACAATAGTCTTAAAAAAGAAAAAAAAAAACCTGGAAGGGACAAACCCTATTGTCCTTCTTGCTTAGCTATAGAACTTTCTTTCAGGAGGCTGCTCACAGGTAGAAATTCCAAACTTCTGGGAGCCGGACTCCAGAGGTGTTTTGTTTCATTCTTCATGGGTCTTCATCTTGCTTCTTTTTATCCTCCTTTACTCTTTTCATTTCCCCACTCCCCACCTCTCTTTTTTTTTCCCCCACCTCTCTTTCCTCACCCAAAACCTGCTTTTCTACTTTCTTTCTCTTTTTTCTTTTTCTGTTCTTGTTTGCAATGATCATTTCCATCCTCAAAGAGTTTTAAATTGTGCCTTGACCTGCATACTCAATTAGAGAGGACCCTAAATCCAATGACTCGTGTCCTTATAAGAAGAGAAGACACACAAAGACGTACAGAGAAGGAGACCATGTGAAGATGGAGGCAAGGGTTGGCATGTTGCAGCCATAAGCCAAGGAATGCTAAGGATTGCCAGCAGCTAGCAGAAGCTAGGAGAGAGGCATGGAACAGATTCTTCCTCAGAGGTTCCAGAGGGAACCAACCCTGTCATGATGTTTTTTGACTTCTAGCCTCTCCATAAGCGAATTAATTTCTTTGTGTTAAGCCAAAAAATAAAATAGAGTCAACAGTGATTGATGATGGTGATGGCTGTACAATTATTCAAACATACTAAAAAATATCAAATTGTATACTTCAGATTGGGTGAATTGTTTGGCATGTGAATTATATCTCAATAAAGCTGGGGTTTTTGTTTGTTTGTTTTGTTGTTTTGTCCTCACCACACAGCATGCGGAACTTCCCCAACCAGGGATTGAACCCATGCCCCCTGCATTGGAAGCACAGAGTCTTAACCACTGGACCACCAGGGAACTCGAAAGCTGTTATTTTTTTTAAATTGTGTCCTATAGAGAATGGACTCGAGGACATGGGGAGGGGGAAGGGTAAGCTGGGATGAAGTGAGAGAGTGACATGGACTTATATATACTACCAAATGTAAAATAGATAGCTAGTGGGAAGCAGCCATGTAGCAAAGGGAGATCAGCTCGGTGCTTTGTGTCCACCTAGAGGGGTGGGATAGGGAGGGTGGGAGGGAGACGCAAGAGGGAGGAGATATGGGGATATATGTATACGTATAGCTGATTCACTTTGTTATAAAGCAGAAACTAATACACAATTGTAAAGCAATTATACTCCAATAAAGATGTTTAAAAAAAATTGTGTCCTGACCTGCCAGTGGCCTTGTTTCCTTCCCCTTTTAGCACCAGCTTCAGAGGCTTCTGTACACATTCCTCATAGAGGCATTTGCCCTACTTGTGCTTCTTGCTCACATTGATCCCAGTCCTGGGGCCCCTACCACACTCGCCCCACCAGTTCCAGGCAGAGAGAGAGAGATTAAAAACAAAACAAAAACCATAGCATGGACCTACTGAAGGACATTTAGGTTGTTTCCACTTTTCACCTCAGCAAAGGAACCACAGTGGCCATTCTTACTCACATTGAATTGTGCACTAGTGTGAGAGTTTCTCTAGGGGATGGGCTAGAGCGGAATTCTTGGGTCATAAGGTATATATTCAACTCCCCTAGACATTGACAAATTATTCTTCAAAACAGTTGAAATAATTTACTTCCTACCAGCATTCCCATTTACCAGCTCCTCACCAACCCTTGAGATACCAGACTTGATATTTTTTCAGCATGATTATTATAAAATGCTGTTTTAGTGGGCATTTCTCTGATTACCAGTGAAGTTGAGCATCTGTCGGTTCGTTTATGAATATTCAGGTTCTTTCTCTACTAACCACCCATTCCTATCCAAACAACAATTTTTACTGGGTTATTTGTCTTTTATTTCTTGATGTGTATTCTGGGTACTAATTATTTGTCAGTTATATATATGGCAGATATCTTTGCTCAGTCTACAGCTTGTCTTTTTGAAACTGTGCACCTCAGATTGGACTTGAACCCATGTGCCGGGACTCAAACCCAACATAAACCCATGCAGCTGGGACTCAAACCCAGACAAAACCAGCAGTCTGCCAACTGAGATCACACACCTGGTTTCAGGACTTAATGAAGCTCAGGTTCTTGATGTCTCATCACAGAAAGAATTCAGTGAGAGACAAAGTGATAGGTAAGAAGTGGATTTATTTAGAGAGAAACACACTCCACAGAGTGTGGGCCACCTCAGAAGGCGAGAGTGGCCTTGGGAGAAACACACTCCACAGGCAGAGTGTGGGCCATCTCAGAAGGTGAGAAGAGCACCAGGGTATGGGGTTGTCAATTTTTATAGGAGTGGGTAATTTCCTAGGCTAATGAATGGGAGGAGTATTCCAGCTATTTTAGTAAGGGGCGGGGGTTTCCAGGAACTGGGCCACCGCCCACTTTTTGATGCTTATGGTTGGTCTTGGAACTGTCATGGCGCCTGTGGGTGTGTTGTTTAGCTTGCTGACGTGAGCATATACTGAGGCTCAAGGTCTAGTGGAAGTTGACTTGTCTGCCATCTTGGACCCATTTGGTTCTAATCAGTTTATGTCATGTCCTCGGGCTATGTCATTCTTTCAAAGGTTGTGCCTTTGGTTATGATGTGTTTTAGTATTTGCAGTGTTTTAATTTTAATGTTGTCAAATTTTCCTTTATAGTTCATGGGAATTTTTTGTTTTATTTGAGAAATCTATCTCTACCCCACAAAAATACTCTTCCTTTTAAAGTTTTATGCTTTTCTTCCACATTTGGGCTTTAATCCGTGTGATATTTATTTTGTGTGTGATGTGAGGTAGGGATTTATTTTTATATTCTCCATAGAGAGCCACTGGTTCCGGAACATTTATTGAATAGTTCATTATTCCCTATACTCTGTAGCACTTCTGCCATTAAATTCAAGTTCCTCTGCCATTAAATTCAAGCTCCCATATACGTTGGATACCTCAGAAATTCATCCCTTAAAATTCAGTTTTAAGTTCTACATTTTATGATGTCTTTTTTTCTTTTGGCCATGCCACGCAGCTTGTGGGATCTCAGCTCTCCAACCAGGGATCAAGCCCAGCCCCTCGGCAGTGAAAACACTGAACCTTAACACTGGACTCCCAGGGAATTCCTTATGATGTCTTAATAACTTAAAGAAGAATATCTTCACCACATTCTTCTTCAAAATTGTCTTAGCAATTCTTGATCCTTTACACTTTATTTTCTTTTATCCTTTACACTTTAATATTAGTTTTGTCAAATTCCATGAAAATCCTTCTCAAAGTTCGACTTTGTCAGGGAGGAAAACACTTTTCTCTACCTTTCTAGGTTATTCTGGCTGGTCTAAGAATTAAATTGACATGAGACAGATTAACAGAAGAAAATCACATAAGAGTTTAATAACATGTATACATGGAAGAAAACCAGAAAAACTGAATAACAAGCCAAAATGGCTGAAACTCTCACTTTAAATGCCATCTTCAGTTAAAGACAAAAGAGAATATTGAAGGTAGTGGTTTGGGACTTCAAAGGGGAGGAAGGCAGTTGACATGGAGATGGAAAAGCAAATGTTTGGTAAATAAATATTGCTGGGCCATGCAGAGACAATGGGACACAGAGTGGAATTTTTTTTTTTCCCCCTGTGTCCCAGCGCTTGAGGCTAGAACCCGCGGAATGGAAGCCGCCGGTACCGAAGACATGACGCGGAAGGAGCCGAAGCCCTTTCCCTCTACCTCCGTACATTACTCGGACCGAGACCGCACGCCCAATCCCCGCCAAGAAAAGGAGGGTTACAGAGTGGAATTTTAACAAAGAGATTTTGCTAGGCTCCTCCCTGTCTACACACCTAATTCACTCTATAGTTATCTACGGTGCTAACGTCTTTCCTGGAACACATCCTCTATCTACATTCTTTTAGGCAGTTAGGAGGAAGGTCAAAGCTTTTTCCTGAATCTTTTGGGCCTTGATGTTTTCCAGTTCGAAATAGTCTGCACGCCAAAGAGACATTTTGGGGTAGCAAGTATGGCTCCCCTACAACTTGAATTACATTCGTTTATAATTTTTTTATTTGGGAACTGGCATGGCCAGTTTCTAACAAAAGGGGGAGCCAGTGGCCATGCTAAGGAGTGAGTGGGCAAGGCTCAGACCTTCATCAACACCCTCTCCTCACTACCACACCCCACAAGCCTCCTCATAAAACACTGAATCTCCAGCAAAACCCTGCAATTGCAGTTTCAAGACAAGTTTCCTAAGTCTTCTCAACCCTCTTCCAACCAGATCACTGCCCCTATACCCTGTGGTATAAGAATTCTGGAGGAGAGAGCAGGGGGGCTGTGAGCAGCGGGTAAAAGTGTCACCAAATTGGTTAACCAGGGTTCCGAGCCTGGGCTGAGACCCCTTGTCTCAGTCAGGGAAGTTCTTTTTCCAGTCGGATTCGCAGCCAATAACGAAACCAATGACTGGAATAGCACAAGCTTTATTCAATGGCCAAAGAATGGAGAATTGGGAACCTAGTTCACGAATCAACTTCTCAACCCAATTTGGGTGGAGACACCAAATATATAGAAGGGTCAAGGTAAAAGGGAGAGATTTGGAAAGACTGAGAGGAATGAATATTCATGGGTTATCCGAGAACAGGGGTGTGGTTTGGTCCTGGAACTAATGCAGCTCTCCTTTTCAGTCCTTGTATGAGCTTTTCCAGTTGTTGTCATGGCAATCGTCAACTGTCATGGCACCGGTGGGTGTGTCATTTAGCATGCTAATGTATTACAATGAGCGTATAATGAGGCTCAAGGTCCAGCTGAAGTCAAATCTTCTGCCACCTTGGGTCTAATTTGTTCTAACAAGTTCTTGGTTTTTTTTTTGCTCTTTGCAGCTCCCTCCTGAAACTTAGATAAGAGTAATTGGTTTCTTTTTTTTTTTTTTTTGGCTGTGCTAGGTCTTCGTTGCAGCATGTGGGCTTCTCAGTGGCAGTATGCAGGCTTCTTAGTTGTGGCATGTGGACTCCTTAGTTGCGGCATATGAACTCTTAGTTGTGGCATGCATGTGGGATCTAGTTCCCCAATCAGGGATTGAAGCCAGGCCCCCTGCATTGGGAGCAGGGAGTCTTACCCACCGGACCACCAGGGAAGTTCCCAAGAGTAACTGGTTTTTTTTTCCGAGAGAGGGGCTGGGGTATGACTCTAGGGCAACAGCCTTGGTAACAAAATAACAGGTTCCAGGCATTGTCCTATTCTGATTCTTGTTCTAAAAGCACCTGGGCCCTCCAAACAGTCTACAAAACCTATTTATCACCTTCTCATTCCAGAGCATTTTAGGGCCTCTGGGGGGAATGAAGGGGCTGCATGATTGCTTATAAAACCTTATTCTACCCTCACAACCCCAGGGCCAGGAAGGGCCTCAGGGAAGCAACCCCTGAAAGGTCCAGTGGGACTCCTCAAGCTGGGCAAGACTTTTATAAAACTAGGACCAGGGCACAAAGGACTCAAAGGAAGTGTGAGTTGAAAAGAGAGGGTGCGCCCAGCAGTCAGCTAATTGAGGAGAGTGAGATAAAGAGATCAATTACAGTGAATGAGGACAGGATTAAGGCAAAGCAACAATGCTGCACTGTACCACAGGCGAGCAATCTGGGGAGCTGTTACTATCTCTAGACCTGGAGGGGACAAGCTGGGAAAGGTCACTGTAACCCAGAGAGACCCACAGCTATGAAAGAGAACTATTCAACAGAGCATGGCCTTCAGTAGAGAGAGGCAGCCACTGCCACCCTATGGCCCAGGCAGTCCCACTAAACATTTAGCACCCTGCTTCTTAAAACAGAGGCCCATTGATTGGGGTAAGCAAAGCAGAAATCCCTAAGTGGTCCTCTATTTCATGCCCCTATCCCTTGGCCCTAGGGTTGGCTGGGTCCTTCTTACACACAGGGAAATCTACAGGCTTGTATTCATTGGCCCACAAACCTATTTCAGCTGTTTGCCCTGAGTAAGGCAAGAAAGAGATGAGCTGTGTCTGAGGTTGGTGTTCCTAGATCAGATAAGAGAGGCCACCAAAATCTCCCCCCACCACACACACACACACACACACACACACACACACACACACACACACAC